TACCCTAAAACCTCTCGCGCTGCGACAATCTGTCCGTCGACGTCGAGTTCCTTGTCGGATCTCATGTGGAAGAAACGAAGATTCTGCTCGCTCTCCGCTCGACCTTCCATAACACACCGAGTTGTCCCAACCCCCCCGCCTCCACCTCGTTGCGCTCCCGATTCACAAGCAGAAAAACATTCCACCTACACCCCTTTGCCGTGTTAGATGGCAGATGGTGCATTCCGGTTCCATCAGCCTGGAGCCGGGCAGTATTACCCCACCCAACACACTTCGCATCGGAACCAGAATCGAGCCTCCTCGCCTTCCGGCGGACGAAGACCTTTCACCAACGACACTCCCTCTCCATCGAGATCGCCCGTGGGCCATTCTGTCGCACACAACTTCAATATGTATTCCCAGAATGGATACCAGACACAGCACAGTCTCATGAACGGGGCGCAAACACATCAGCGTTACGCGAATCTTCATTTGCCAAAATACCAGCCACCCCATCACGGTCATCACAACGTCACTCAACATCACGGCCAGCACCACCACGCCGGGCAGTTAGGACACCAGCACAATCTTTCAGGTGGCTTCCCATCTGGAACCCCTCATTTGCCCACCTACGCGCACGAGCACCTCTCTAACGGAAATGGTAATGGACTACCGCACGACGATGCGGACGAGCCGGACAATGAATATTGGAGGGAACAAAAGCAGTTTTGGGAAGAAAGCAAAGATCTCAACGGCCCAAATCAACGAGCACGCACTGTTGCGCATCACTCCAAAGGCGTTAATTATGTCCCGTTAGGCGCGGCTGCAGAAGACCTCCCGACAGATACAGCGCGGGCAATCACATCAAATGGACAGTCTTCTAGCAGGCAAACCTGGGATGAGCTGGATCTAGGCGGGCAGGGTCTCTGCGCGCTGTCACCCGTGCTGTTCAATCCGTCCTACCATTTCTTGAAACGCCTCGACCTTGTATATAATCAACTAGAAACCCTGCCACCGGAGATTGGACAATTAAAGAACCTCGAGCATCTGGATGTCTCTTTTAATCAACTGACAGAATTGCCAGAAGAGATTGGCATGCTTACGAACCTCAAGCAACTCCTCCTGTTCAATAACCATATTCAAACCCTGTGTTACGAACTCGGTTTCTTGTACAAACTCGAGGTGCTGGGCATCTATGGAAATCCACTGGAGCAAGGGCAGCGCGACAAGATCACGGAGGGCGGTACGAGGAAATTGATTGAATATCTCCGTGAAAGCATGCCAGGTTTGTTTCGCATATTTGCTTTCCATGTTTTGCCGCTAATATTGTGTTAGAACCTCCGCCTCCCCGGGAAAGAGAGTGGCACCAAATCGAGGAAATCGACGAAGCTGACCCAACCCAGGACACAGTCAAGGTGCTGAATTACAACATTCTGTGCGACCGCTACGCGACGCAGCAGCAGTATGGCTACGTTCCGGAGCGCGTCCTGACTTGGGGCTTCCGCAAGACTCTGATCTTGGAAGAGATTCGGGAAATGAACGCCGACATTGTCTGCCTCCAGGAACTGGACCGGTGCAGCTACGACGATTATTTCCGAGGCGAACTATCCATATCGGGCTACAAGGGATATTATGCACAGAAAAGCCGTGCCGAGACGCTGGGTGACGCTGCTAAATTTGTCGATGGGTGCGGCACCTTCTGGAAAGACAAGAAATACATGGTGCTGGACACGCAACATCTTGTCCTCGGACGAAAAGCGGTGGAACGACCTGGCGCCAAAGCATCGGCGGACATGCTGAATCGGGTGTGGCAGAGAGATGACATTGCGACAGTTGTGTTTTTGGAAAACCGTGTCACGGGCTCTCGCGTGGTTGTCGTCAATGCTCACATCTACTGGGATCCCGCATTCAAAGATGTGAAACTGATCCAAGCAGCTGTCCTCATGGAAGAATTGTCCAAGCTCACAGACAAGTACGCCAAATTTCCACCTGCGACCAACAAGCAGGCCTTCCGGTTCTCTGATTCAGAGGACGATCCGCTACCGGACCCTGGACCGTCATTGTCATATACCTCTGGTCCCCAGATCCCGATGATAATCTGTGGAGACTTCAACTCGGGTGCAGGATCTGCCGTCTACGATCTATTCACAAAGAAAGGGCTGAATGCCGAGCACGCCGATTTGGACGGCCGAGATTATGGTGCTTTCTCCCGTGCAGGTATGTCACACAATTTTACGCTCAAGTCTTCATATGCCGCCATTGATGGGGAGATGCCTTTCACGAATTACACGCCAAACTTTGTCGACGTCTTGGACTACATCTGGTACTCGAGCAACTCTTTACGCGTGGTTGGATTGCTCGGGGCCATCGACCCGGAATATCTTAAGCGGGTGCCGGGCTTCCCGAATTTCCACTTCCCGAGTGATCACATCGCGATCGTGGCCCAGTTCAAGGTGGAGAAGCAGCGGAGTGCCCAGAAAGCGGTGGAGGCCGACTTTGGACCCTCGTCGAAGAAGTAGAGGTTCATTCCGACACGGTCCAGTGGATTTGCGAGGGTGTTTCGCTTCGGTTGAGGTCTACGTTGGCTGTAAACGGAAAGGGGTCTGGACGTCATGTGAAGCAGGAATCTTTTTCGGGGAATAGGGGTGAATCTCGTACATGGGAGGAGGTCAAGGGGGGAGGCGATGGACGGTGTGGAGGTAAATGGCGTGTGACACATTGACACATTGGTCGACAAAGGTTCCGAGCTGGAGTTTTGTGTGAGATATGTCTGTGGGTTTTCGGGGTCTCTCTGCTTTTGCATGGCATCTATGCAAACTTTTGTCTCGAGTCGTTGGACATGGATGGGAACCCAAATATTACGCCGCGCGCTGCCTTAACGCGCGATGGAGGGGAATGACAATAACAAGTTTGCATTTTCGATGTTTGTGGCGTGACACAACGCGTCCCGAATGAACACCACCGACTCAAGGCTGACGAGGCTGACGAGGCTGCGCACCAATACCTCGTAGGTACTCGGCACTCGTTACGAACTGCAGGATCGAGCGACCGCAGCACAATCTGTCTGTCTGTCTGTAGTCACGTGGCTGTCTTGGGAAATCTCCTGCCCTGCACGCCTGCATGGCTGCCAGGTGCTCATGATCGGTGAGGAGGTAGGTATGAAGGAGTGATCGATTGAAGACGCCTCCCTTGACCAAAAGGGATAGTCCAGGAGGAGTACTTGCTAGACAAATATATTGGCACGTACATATATATAACAGTTGTGGGACCAGGAAGACGAAACTCAAACCCCAAGAAATAGTATATGCAGAGGATATCGGTTGAGAATATGCATAGCATAGCATAGCAGAGTAGACACAGGTGGGTGGGGGGGGCTTCCCTGAGGAATATCATGTGTTGTTCTGAAGAAGAGCAAGCTGCCACACACAGTATGCTCCATCTGTGGATCGACCCTCCCTCGAACACAACGTCGAGGGTGGCTTCTGTTTCGTGGCTCGGTTTCGAGCATGGCTCTTCTGGGTGAGGTATACTCTCTCACTACCGAGTATGCATCCGTTGCAGAAGCAGTGTCCCATGCATGAGAGCCGTGACATGGAATTCCCTTCAGCCACGCCAGAAGGTATGCATGCCGCGCTTTCCTCTTGCACCCCCCTCCTCCCCCCCTGCAGGCGGTAACCCCAACATGTCGATTTTGGGTGGGTAATATAAGTTGCGATGACCCGAGTCCCGCAACGACTTTCTCAGGACGATCTCAGGCGTTATTTCGTGGCCACCGTAGAGCAACATGCCTATTTACCGTGTGCCATCCATCATCATCCTCGATGCACTTTGGAGAACAAGGCGTTGTTGTCTCCGGACGTGATTCATATCTTGTCAATGTAGTCGACTTCGCGCAAGTTGACCAGAATCATTGGTGAAGAGTGAGGCTCACGGGCTAGTTGGACTGGTTCGAACAGAGTGCGGCGAGGGCGGAGTGGTTATGAGCGAGCCGTCCGTTGGGCCACCAAAGCCAGATGCCCGACGAAGGATCTCTCTTTTGGGGTTGGAATCTCAATTCGGCCAATACGGCCAATACGGCCGTGACACAATCTTCATAGCCTTCATCTCTTGAACCCAAACTCCTTTCTTTCCCTCTCCTCCTCGGCCCTTCTCCGCTGAGACTCTCGGAAATCCTGAAGTTTTCGTTCCAGCGCCGTCTTTTGGCCCAAGAGCTGGGCTCGCTTTGCCTCCAACGTGTCGAGGGATCCGTAATACATCTTGTTTTCGCTCACCACGGCGATGACGGGCTCAGCTGTGTTCCCTTGTTGGGCTATTTCTTCGTCCGTAGTCAAGGATTTCTGCGCCTGCTGGAGAGGACAGAAGTTGTATTTAGCATTTCGTTGACACTTTGTAACCTCCGAATTTTACGTGGAGAATGGAGACATGGGGAGGCATCTAGCATACCTTTCTTGCAGCCTCTTGTTGTCTGCTAGTCTTCAGGATCGCGCCGATAAACGCCCCCGATGCGACTATACCGGCGATGCCGATTGCGTAGACCAGAGGTCGAATCTTCCGACTGCCAGCAGGCACATGTGCGGAGGTATTTTGAGCGGCTCTCGTAGGTGATCTCGCAGGACGGGGTGGAAGGGACGGGGACATTATCAGTCTGTCGTCGGTAGAGGAGCCATATAGCCTCCTGGTGTCCTCTCTCACACACTGATGGGGGACGTAGGTGTCGATGCTCAACTGGGCGATAGGTGGGTGAGGTGGAATGGGCAGCAAGCCGAGTCGGTTGGAGAGTCCGCCAGTAATATTAAAGCAGCGAGGCGCAACTCTGGTCCTCTCCGCCCGCCTTGTGCAATAATCGCAGGAATGCATTCAAACGCGTTGCCTAACTAACTCATTCTCCAACGCTTCATCGATCCCTTGTCGTTGACACAACGTCCACAGCTTTCCCGCCCTGTCCCGCTTGAACATGCGACCGCAGCAGTCTTCATAAAATATAGAAAAAAAAACCACCCAGGGTCGGATCCAACCAAACCATGGCAGACGAGCCGGGCTCCCTAAACTGGCGCCTCAGTGCCCATCCCATCACACTTCTAACATATCTAGGCTTCCGAATAGGTAAGTCTACATTACCACAATATTGTCACCGTTTTATGCTAGCAAAACAACGCAATCAAAGAAGCGCGAGAGAGAGAGAGAGAGGCGCCTCGCTAACACTCGGGCGCAGGAAGTCTCCTCATGTACCTCTTCGGCGTGCTCTTCATCCGCAACTTCGTCCTCGTCTTCATCCTCACCCTCCTCCTCCTGTCCATCGACTTTTACTACCTCAAGAACATCGCCGGCCGTCGCCTCGTGGGCCTTCGCTGGTGGAACGAGGTCAACACCTCCACGGGCGACTCGCACTGGGTGTTTGAATCGGCCGCGGGCACGGGCAGGACGGAGAACAAGACGGACAAGAGGTTCTTCTGGTTGAGCATGTATACCGTGCCGGCGTTGTGGGTCGGCCTCGCGATTCTGGCGTTGGTGAGGCTGCAAAATCTCATCTGGCTGGTGACGGTTGGTGAGTTTTTAACTCCTCATGCGAGGCCTCTCGAGTTTTTCAGCGCTGGAGTTCTCAAACGTGAACGTTTCTTTATGCTTCGTGGAGTAAAATACTGATGTACGTGGACAGTGATTGCATTGGTCCTCACCATCACCAACACCGTCGCATTCTCGCGCTGCGACAAGTTTAGCCAGGCCTCGAGTTTCGCCGGGTCGGCTCTCTCGGGCTCAGGACTGGCCAGGAGTCTCGCGAGTAACGTGATGGGAAGGTTTTTCAAGTGAAACGGAACTGGGAGGTCACATTGTACGATATGGCGAACACGGTGCTCTTGATCGGGCATGGGGACTGAGACTTTTTTGGGGGAGAGAATGGATTACCACGATACCAGCAAGTCAAAAGGCTGTCGCGCTGGCGCTAGGACTGGAACTGGCACTGCTATACGTTGGGCGCATCCAGAATATCTCAATGGAAAAAGACCCCGTCGAGTGCGCGGGTCTAGAGACACTCGTCACGCAGGAACAGACAGCCTTGCTATACAGCGTGGAAATTCAATCCTGCATCCATCCGCATGGACAACCTCTGAAAAATATTGTTCGAAAAAACCCACGCCAGGATCGGATACCCAAGGGCGGAGCTTGAGACTCAACCCAACCCTTACTACTTAGTAGCTGGGTAGTAACGCCTTACATACTCGCCCTTGTAGACCCCTACACTCGCACGGAGTACTCGGCACAGCTCGAGAAACAGGTCCATGGACTCTCCCAAAACGTTGATTGACTTCTTTCCCACCTGGAAATTAAGGCGACATATCGACCCGAGAGTAGTGGTGATTTATTCACTAATCACGCTTTGATTTGTGTGTTGAATATTTGATATAGATATATATTCTCCAAAGTCTAGCCAGACAGAACCGGATAGCCTCTGCCTGGCCCCTTTTTGTTGGTTCCCCAATGTCGACACGACTGCCGACAGCCCTTTTTTCACTCCCCTTTCCTCTCATGCTCCCTCAGCAGCCTCGTCTCCATTTCTTCAAAACCTTTCAGTGCGCTGCTATACTTCTCCCACACCGGGGCGTTGTAACCATCCGCAATCTTCTCGACAAACTCGTCCTCGCGCCACCTCTTGCCGATCAACTCCTCAAACGTCTCGCCCTGGTTTCGCTCCACCGCCCAGACTGCCTTGTATGCAGCGCCCAAGGCACACGCGTTCTCGCCGACGTCGAGCTTGAAGACACCTTCGGAGCCGCCGAGCACCTCACCCGCAACGCGGGCGATGGCCTTGTTGCGTGACCCGCCACCTACCAGATAGATCCTGCGTGGCTGCGGCGGCAGATCCTTTGCCGGGCTCGAGACGAGTTCCCTAGAGCGGAGCCGGAGAGAGAGGAACTGACTTTCCACAATGACCCTGGCGTCTTGTTCTGGGGGCTGCGGTACAGATTTCTCAGGGCTGAGCTCATCGGTCTGGGGCTTGTATGAAAAATGCCACTCTCCAACCGGAAGGTTAGGAATGATTTCAGGGCGGGGGAAATATAGACCTAAATGCATGGGGTATTTCTCATCCGATTGAGCGAGGGGTGGCGTATCAAGCAGCCGTTTGTCGAACTCTGTCCACGAGTTCTTCTCGCCAACTCCAAGCTTCTCATTGATCGCGTCGCGAACCTTCTCTCTCGCCAGACCGCCATTTTTATAGCACAACATAAACATATACAACCCAGGCGTAGTCGGATGGTTGAAGAAATGCGTGCTCGGATCTGGTTTATACTCGGTAGTGGACATCAAAAAGGTGGTACTTGTCCCTAAACTGACCATGGCATCGTTGCTGCGCAGCGGCAAGGCAAGGATTGTGGAAGGGTTGTCACCGGTCGAGGCGATAATGGTGCACTCATCTGAAAAGCCATGTCGCTTAACAAAGTAGGGAGAGACGGTGCCCAAGTGGATGCCGCCGTCTTGAGGCACATCGCCCAGTTTCTTCTTCAACGCCTCCACGCCAGAGGGTCCCGCAGCAAGTTCCAACAGTTTCTCATTCCAATTACCGGCTTTGATATCCCATAGGTTCATGCCGCAGACATCTGAGATGTCAAAGGGTGCATATTTTCCGAGGAAGATGGTAGCGATCCAAGATGACACCAGGGTGATCCGGTAGGTCTTGATATATTTATCTGGGTATTTACGTTGAAATCGTAGAATTTGCGGCCCGGTGAAGCGATGGTGCGCTTTGCTGCCCGTTACATTTGCTAGTTGCGACTCGTTGCCTAGAACGGCGTCAAACTCGTCACATTCCTTCTGCGTGCTTGCATCCTGCCAGTTGGGACTGAACGGATGGGCAAACGCTCCGTCAAGCTGGGCCTCCAGTGTTCTTGAAGGATCGAGCTGGGACAGCAGTTGTTCCGCATCGGCATTCCAGAAAACACTCCCATGCTGCATGCCTGAACCGCTAATCCCCCTGATACGACTGAAGTCGAGGCCACCATCCTTCAGACGAGCCAAGAGTGTGTCAATGGCCTGCAGCCACATTGCGACTGGTGCAAAGACTTCATGCTCGGCTTCGTTCACAAGAACACCCTTATTTACATTGAAACCTTGAGAATCGGCGTCAAAGTCGAACTTGGCCTCATGGACCTTTTTCAAACTGGAGTCGACTACCAAGCCTTTTAATTGCTGGGTGGATAGATCGAAGCCGAGATATAGAGGGCCGGGAGAGGTCATGGTATGGATCCCGACCAGACAGTTGACTCGGATGCTCAATAGGTGATGTTTTGTCTACCGTCCGTCAAGCATAACAGATACTCACACCTTCAGGAACAAAAGAAATTCTCCCCAAATGATGAAAGTAGAGGTGGAGTAAATGCACGTCGGATGGTGAGGGGGAGCAACATTTCTGACGGACCTCTTGGCGCAATGATATCAGCCTGATATCACCGGCTGTAAAATTCCGCGGTGCATTGGAATCGGCCTCCCTGATGGAACCACGCAAGGCTTCCACATTAGTTCAGGTATCTTTTTTTCTTTGGCTCGAGGTGATTGCATGGCCGTTTGCGTGGCCATTTGCGTGTTCGTGGCCATGGTCATGTCCTCGCCCTCCCCCATGATGATGATGGTCATGTTCATCGCGCTCATCCTCGGGCTCGGGACTGCTTCTTGGACTCACGTCCGTGACAATGAAATCACCTGCGAGCGTGGCACTCGCATCGTCCAACTGGACGAATTTGACGCGAACTCGTCTCACTCCGCGTATCTTGGAGCCACATCTTTCTCGGACAGCGTCTTCGATCTGCTCCATCTGCTCCAGGGTGAGGTCCTTGGGTACCCCGAGTTCAATGTCTATCAGATAATTCTGACCAGATTTGACGCCTTGTATATCTCTGATCTCGGTCTCATTCCCGAACTTGACAGGCTCAATGCCATTTGCAGCATCGCCTTTGAGAGCTCTGGATGCGGCTCTGCGGACTAGGCCCTTGATCTCATCGTCCACAGTGACATCTGCGAGCTCGAGGAGAGCGGTTTTTGTGTTGTTCCAGCCTGCTCTTATTACCATGGCTGAAATGATCAGCCCGCCCACAGGGTCTAGCCACGAGGCGTCCGAAAAGACATGTGCACCCCCAATCGTAGCCAGGGCCACAATGCTGGTCAACGAATCTATACGGTGATGGACCGCATTGGAGGCTAAAACGGAGGATTTGCGTTCTCGGGCAATCTTCATAGCTGGAGGAGGAGATTAGCAGGGGGCGCGTAGAGGAACGAGGTTCCATGCTGAGACTTACTAGCTCGGTATAACCATTCCTTCACCACGATAGAGCCTGCCGCAAGCCAAGCGGCGTTGAGATCAGGTAATATGGGACCATGGCTATGGCTATGTCCTAGAAAGGAGAACAAGCCACCACCAGCATGTTCAGCGTGGTCATGAGCGTGGGCCACAACCGCAGGATCGAGCATTAACTGTGTGTAAAGGGCATCCAGCCCATTCAATCCAATACCCACACCTCCGAACAGTAACAGTCCGCTCACTCCCAAAGCACCTAAGCTCTCAATCTTACCATAACCACTAGGAAATCGATTCGTGGCGGGTTTGAGGGACCAAGAGATGGTGGCGAGGGTCATGAAGTCGGAGACCAGGTCGGTGAGAGCGTGGAAGCCGTCGGCAATCAGAGCTTGAGAGTGGAAGACAACGCCCCCTACACCCTTCCCAATGGCCATGCCCAGGTTGACGAACAGCCCAATCCTTGTGATCTTGACGCCAGCATCGTTCTTGTTCTGCGAGGTCAGGTAGGTGGTGTCGTGTGCGTGTGCATGGCCGTGGTGCGAGTGTCCCGCATGACCTCTCGACTGCTGCTGGGTGTTCGATCGCGTCATTGACATGCGTGAGGCAAGAGGATTGACGGACGGGAGGCGATTGAGGAGAGGGAAGGACATTCTCGAAAGATGCCGGCAAGCATGCAATCTGTTGTTAATATAGGACGAGTAGCTGGAGGCTCTGCATCCTCGAGTCCGAGACAGGATTTGACTGGAGTTGGTAATGCTGAGGCAGGCCCGTTGACAAGAGGACATGTGTCGCGTTTCAGCGCGGAACAAGTGCGTCAGCGGCATTTGGGGGGAAAAGGAGGAGCTGCCGGGCGTTGCTGGTGACGTGCAGCTCGTAAACGCAGGGGGGAGGAAGGGAGGTGGGAAACAAGGGAAAATTGTCAATTTGACTCTTCTGGACTCGTTCAACCCATGCTGCTGTCTGGTGCTATTATGAGGGCATGAGGGCGAGAAGGGCTTAGCAAGCCTGCATAGAGAGAAGAAAAAAAAATACTCGTACAATTATTTGGACAGAACGAATTGTGTAGGACCGAGGAGCACGCAATTGGACGCGTCGCAGTTGGTCCACAGCAGGACTTCAGGTTCGAAGGGATTTCTAGATGATGTATTTGTACTTACATGTACTGTGAGCCTCGCACCGATCAATTAATTAGGACTATTATTGCATCCATGCATCCTTGTTATTCCTTTGCCCGACGGTCCCCGGAAAATGACGGGCCTCCCTCATTCCCACTATTTCCCTGTCCCCAGATTACCGAGAACCTATCCAGCGTTCACAGGCGCATTTAACTGATTCTTCTCATGGTGTCCTCGACATTCATATCCCGGAGTATTCAATGTGATCAGACAAAGGACAGGGAACACTACCTCCGACAACGCAGCCATCCTTGCCGATCACTCATGTCCAGTGGCCCGAGGTTCGCTCGTGATCAATCACACAAGAATGTTTTTTTGAAGGTTTCCGAGAATTCGGCAACTTGTGTTGTGGGACTGAAGCGCTGTCATCCATCATACCGACACTTGTGGTTGGACGAGGCGTTGAAATAAGACTCTAGGTAAAAACGTTACCATACACTAAGGTTCCAATTCCCCAAGGCTTCCTCCCTCCGGGGGGGTCGACAACCATTTGGATTTGGTGCAGCGAGTGGGTTGTATATTTCAACACACACAAGTTTCGGAGCAATAGTCATGGTATTCTTACTCCCTACCTTGGTCGCCCGGCAGTCGATATATGGTCAACTGCGAAGCACCCACCGGCCCAACAGGAAGAACATGATATAGAAAAGTCCGGAAGGGGTCAACTGAAAGGCCTGGCGCTTGCTTTTGACTCGTTGCGTCGCTTATTCTCAGGGATCAAATCTCCATCGCTGTGCGGTCCGTGCCATGTCTCATATTACTTCTACTACCGAAAGGTTCCAACTAGTGAGAGGCCCGGGAGGTTTCCGATTCAAGAAGAGAGCTCGGCTATCGATTTCCGACTTGTTCTGGCACCCAGTCCCTGCTGTAAATAACATGCAATAATACATACCTAGGTAGATACCAAGGTGTCAAGCAAACTCGTTAAGCTGGAACAGAGACACACAGACAAAGACATCTCTTCTCTGACCTGACCCGATCTTGACCTCGACTTGGTGCTCGTACGCAATAACAAATACATGTGTCTTTTTTGGGCCATATCGTCAACCATGTTGGACATGCCACAATCTTCTTTATCGAAACTCCGAAACTGGCTCATTGAGGTACATCCAGTAGCTCAATCAATCCTTGGATGCCCCTGTGGACAGTTCTTTTATGTCTATCAATCAACCCTCCAGCTTCAACCTCTCCAAATCCTTGACGGCCTCCTCCAATCGCTTCACTTCGCTTTCGGCGTCCTGAAGTTTCTCCTCCTCCTTTCTCTTCGTATCCTTACTCGCCTTCTCCCACCCGGCTCCGCTCATGATCTTCTTGCTCTTGTCCGCTCGGGATTTGGCATCCTCAATGCTCTTGTGGCGCTTCTTCAACTCCTCTGCCACATCAATCCTCCCCGCAATCTTGAGATACACGGCGGCGTCCGCGTTGATGCTCTGCAGAGCACACCCAGCAGGCGGAAGGGAGTTCGTGGCTGGTGGCAGGACTTCAATCTTGCCAGCGTACTTGCCGCCTAGAGATTTAATGGACGTTTGTTCCTCGGACACGGTCTTGAAAGCCGAGTCCGAATAAGTTTGGATGATCACATCTCCGGGTTCCTTGAAGGCGTATTGCGAAAGCAGGCTTCGAATCCCCGACGCAATGTCCATGATAAACTCATACTTCTGAGCGTCTTGAGGAGCATCCAGTTTCTCGTTGAACTCGGGATACTTCGCGATCATGATACTCTCGGTGCCGTCACCTTTCCGACGTGGGAGCTTCTGCCACAAATGCTCTGTCAGGAACGGCATAATCGGATGCATCAGCAGCAAGCCGCCCTCAAGTGCTGTGTACAAGGTTTGCTGAGCCGACCTTCTCTCATCCTCAGGAGCCTCGGGCGTAAGGATATATTTCGAGTTCTCGATGAATGTGTCACAGAGCTGCGTGAACCAGTATTGGTACAGGGTGCCCGCAGCCACCGAGAACTCTCGTCCCTCGATGGCATCATTGACCTCCTTCGCAGCCATATTGAGTCTGTGAAGGATCCATTTCTCTGCCAGCGATTTGGGTTTGTTGTCCGTTGGTTTTGCATCAGGGACGAAGTCTCCTCCAAGTCTTCCCAGTGCAAAATTAGTTGCTTGGTAGATCTTGTTGCAGAACCGTCGCTTTGCTTCGATCTCCCGGATATCAAAGGCCACGTCGCCTCCACCAGTGGTGTAGTTCACGAGCGTAAACCGTAGGGCGTCGGCGCCGCACTCCTCAATACCCTTGGGGAAAGCTGTCTTCTGGTATGTTTTGGCTCGCTCAATCTCGGCTGGATCGAGGTTACCGGCATACAATGTCTTGTGGAGATCTTCCAGCGTGATGCCCCTGATGATGTCCAGCGGGTCAATCACATTGCCCAAGGACTTGGACATCTTTCGTCCCTCCGCATCTCGAATCAACGAATGGCAGTAGACCTCTGTAAAGGGCACGTCGCCGGTCAATTTGAGACCAAACATGACCATTCTCGCCACCCAGAAGAATAGAATATCCCACCCGGTCTCTAGCATGCTGGTCGGATATAATTCCCGCATATCGGAAGTCTCCTTTGGCCAACCAAGTGTCGTAAATGGCCAAAGACCCGAGGAGAACCAGGTGTCGAGCACATCCTCATCCCATCTCAGCGTGAATTTCTTTCCAGGGAATTTCTTCTCCGCCTTGGCTCGAGCTTCATCCTCAGTCAGAGCCCCCACCCAGTAGTGGCTGTCAGCTTCGTCACTTGTCTTGTCTTCAAGCTCAACAAAATAGGCTGGTGCTCGATGACCCCACCAGAGTTGTCGAGAAATGCACCAATCCTGGATATTCTGCATCCAGAAATGGAAGCGTCGTGACTCTGATTCAGGTTTGATCAGGATTCGACCGTCCAGCACAGCATCGTCCGCGGCTTTGGCCATGTCCGCCATCTTCATCCACCACTGTGGTTTTAGGACTGGCTCAATCACGTCTTTGCTCCTCTGGCACATAGGAATCGTCATTGCGTTATCTTCCTGCTTGGTATACAGGCCGAGCTCTTTCAAGTCGTTGATCACAGCGTATCGGACGTCGAACCTTTTTTGACCCGCATAAGGCCCGGCATTTGCATTCAACGTGCCATCGTCGTTGAGGATATTGATGAATTCCAGGTTGTGCTTCTTTCCCTTGGTAAAATCGTTGGGGTCGTGTGCCGGGGTGATCTTCACGGCTCCAGTACCAAAGTCCATCTCCACCTCTTCGTCTGCAATGATCACGATCTTGCGATCTGGAATAAAGGGGTGGATGGCCAGTTTGCCTACGAGGTGCTTATATCTCTTGTCGTCAGGATGCACGGCAATAGCGGTATCACCAAGCATGGTTTCCGGACGAGTTGTGGCGATCTCGATAAACTCATAGCCCTTGAAGCGGTCCGCTGAGGTCGATGATTTGTGTGAGTCGTCTCCCTTGCTGATGGGGTATTTGAAGTAAGTGAGGACACCGAATTCAATCATCTTGTCATACCCCGGCACTTTCAACTTGGTTCGCCCTTTGAGCTCCTTGTTGTCCACTTCGAGGTTTGATAACGAGGTGCAAAGAGCAGAGCACCAATTCACCAACCTGTCCGCCCTGTAAATGATACCATCTTCGAACAGGTCGACAAACGTCTTTCGCACAGCATAGGAACGATCGTCGTCCATGGTGAAAGCCTCACGTGACCAATCCATAGATCCTCCCAAACGTTTGAGCTGGTTCGTGATGTTGGCGTGGTACTTCTCCTTCCAGCTCCAGATCCTTTCCAGCAAGACTTCTCTGCCTAGATCGTGCCGGGTCTTGCCCTCGGTCTTGTAAACCATCTTTTCCACCACGCTTTGCGTAGCTATACCGGCGTGGTCACAGCCAGGGATCCAGGCCGTGGTTTTGCCCTTCATTCTCGCATGTCGAATCATGGTGTCTTGCAGCGCGTTCGTAAGGGCGTGGCCCATATGCAGTGACCCCGTCACATTGGGAGGAGGTATCGGAATGACGAATTTGCCCTCCGGTTTGACCTTCCCTTCCTTTGTAAATTGCGGCTTGAAGTAGCCTCTGCTCTCCCACCACTCATAACGGCCAGATTCGATCTTTTGAGGTTCGTAAGCATCGGCGGCGGCAGGTTTCTTGACCTTTTCTTTCTTCGCGGACTTGGCGGCATCACCCGCGGGAGTGGGCGCGGTCTGTTTCTTTGACTGTTTCTCTTGGAACTTGGCCAGCTTTTCGGCCTTCTTACGTTCTTTCTCAACTGCGGAAGGCATGATAGTCAGACTTAATATTCTTTGCACGGAGTGGATATGAGCAGCGACGTTGTGGGTGCAACGGGTGAATTGTCATTGAGGGAAAAGAGTGATATGACTACAAGACTTTGCCCGCCCTTTATAGATGCCTTCCCAGTCACAAACCATGGAACGTTTGGCAGTCCGGTTCTTGGCTTCGGGTGAGTCATCTTTTTGTCTGTGTAGTCTGCATCTTTCATA